AGCAGGAATTGCAGAAGGAAAATTAATTCACTATAACTACGCCTTGTAACCTGTGAATCAGTATGGTGGCTGAATACTGAAAAGGCAATGCCTGGAAATTGCAAAAAATTTTGAAAAGAAAAACGGCAATAATTGTTTTAGGTAACACTTATGGTAGGCTCTGTGCTTTAGCTACTAGTCCCACTCTATCCAATCTCTTCGATACTCCAAAACAAACCGAATTTTCAAGCAAGCCCTTTAAAAATTAATAGGGTTTGCGCCTTTGACGTATAAATAACACCTACTCTGTACAACAGTCTGCTGTGCACGGCTGTAGATTCCCCAGCGCTGGTGAAGAGAGCAGTAAAACTAGGCCAGCAATGATAAGCCAGCCAGATGGCCAACCCTACACAGAGGCCGGTCTTTGGCAAAAATCTCTCTCATTCATTTAGGCCAGTAGCAATTGGTATTTTAAAATACATAAAAGTTTCAAATGACAGCATAACTCAAGACTTGACTGCTGCAGATAACAGTACAGGCAGTTAGAGAGAGATGCCTCATTTTTAAAATTTTAAATTGCCTGACATTATCGCATAAAAATCAATTATCAACCCAAGGAATTTGTTGATAACAGTGCGTTTAATGAGCTAAGGTACTGGAAATAGTATCCTTTTCAGTCAAGGGAGGTTTCAGTATATGATAAAGTTATACAGCAATAGCATATAGTAGCGTCTTGAAACTGCTGCTGCTACAGTTGGAAACACACCTATGAACTCATTCTATCAATTTTAGCAAAATGTAACCTGATCGGCTGCTTGTTCGGAGGGAAAAATGGCGGTAAAAAAAATCATTTGTGGCAATGCTGCAAACTAGTTGCCCTAGAGTAAGGCTGGGAACTGGCTTTTGCTAGAAGTGACTCAAACTGAAGCAGTAAAGCTGCTGCCTCTGGTTGTCCCTGGGTTACTCATCCGAACTGCCGCCTTAGGCCATGTGGCCCGCTGACTGCCTACTACTGTAATCTGTATCCCACACTCTTCTTCTGGCGCAAAGCAACCCATTACTTCTGCTTTTTGTTGGGTCTATCTTCTGTCTCAGTTCCTACGAACTCCAAGCAAAACAGAAAATAAATGGACTACATGCTTGACCGGTTCAATGTGGCTTTACTGCAGTGCAGAGCAAAATTTCCACTGCAGCACTGAATGGGATTGTTAAAGCAGCAGCATGAGCGAGGGAAGGTCACAGCACAGGGTGAATCTTGGGAGAGAGAAAGAAAAATGGAGCGTCAGCACCTGGCTTAAAGCTGAATAGTCAAATCAGGAGTACCATCCACACAGGTTTTTTTACTCTCACTGAATTGCTCAGGTGGTAACTAGAGTCACTAACGTACAAACAACCAGCACAGAAAAGGTCAAAAACCTGTTACTGCGACATTCTGAAAAGGAGAATCTTTAAAATGAATCACAGTGATACAGAAATGACTGATTTTTCAGAAAAATAAGTTTTTGTACAAGCAGATAAAAAAAAAAAAAAACACTACCAGAAACATTTTTAAAATAACCATTTAATGTCTCCTTAGAAGACAATTTTAAGTTTAAAAATTTCCTAGAACAGCCTACTAGGCTGGTGAAATTTATGCTTCTTCCATCAAATTAATTTTTCTAGAAACACTCTATAATCATGAAAAGATATGTTTTACAATATTAATTTTACAGTTAACGAAAAATGTAGGTTTCTCAGGTTTTCATATAAAATACGATGATGTAGGAGCGTAACAGAACCATAAAGGAGTCTCTCTGAACCTCTGTAAAATTCATTTGCTCTAATTTTCTTTTTTTCATATATGTCTAATTCTCTTATTTCTTACATATATGTGAAAATAAGAAAAATCAATGCTTCTTCCTATGTCCCTATGACAAACATTTTCCCAGATTATTTTTCCTAGATTATTTCCAAAATAAACTAGACATTAAAATGTCTAAAACCCTAATTACAGCGGGTGGTTCTTTTTGTTTATTCAACCTTATGTTAGAGCCACAGCTTACAGACGCTTACTTCTAGCAGTGGCACACAACAAGTGACCATAAGAAGTAACAGTAACACAACTCTTATCTATACCTACTGCTGCTACCGCTAACATCGCTGTCAACAGGACTGTTGGCTTCGCAGTGGCCTGTTCCACTTTGACCTGGCTTGTGTATCACTAGTGGTGCACGTTCACAGAAAGAGAAGTTCTGTCTTACACTCTACTTATGAAGACAAACACTAATACTCTCAGAAGAGTATTTAAACAAGGCTAAAATAGTCCAGTTTTGTTTGACGATCTAGCCATTAAATCATCCTTTGAATTCTATTTGACTTGCAGGCTTTTGATCTGGATATTTTGAGACTACTGGAATTCCTATTATAATGTTCAATATAAGCTCAGCAAGCCAGAGGCCATACGTTGCTTACGCCTACACAGAATCTAACACAACAAGGCTTTCTATGTGCCTAATACAAAGAACAGTAATTCTAACTTTCACAGTCAACAGCTAACAAAATTGACAACAAACTGTCATTATGAAATTGTTTTAGACATCCCATTTAAGCTTCTTTTATGAACTTCCTGTTTAAGTTATGTTCTGCTATCGGAGTCACTACAGTTCACTAACTCAATAATTCAACTGTATTTCACTGAGTTTCTCTAAGTTTATTTAAATAAGCTGAATTATTTAAGAGATTTTCAGGAACAACAGAATCCATTAATTCACTTCAAGATGGAGCTTAACAACAGCAAATGCCAGCAGGACTTGTCTTGTAAGAGGCTAGCCAAAGGAAAAGAATCCCATACATTGTATAGACAAATTCATATACATAATAGACACTTAAGTTCTTGAATCGACAGAGCCCTGGACCAGGCACGGCTTTCTTGGTTCACAATATTTTTGTTCACAGACAAAAGCTTGGTTAAGCTATAGCTGGGGTTATGCTTATAGGTAAAGAACCTTAAAGTACATGGAAAAGTAAGAAACACAGAAAGCAGAAATCCAAGGTAAGATAAAATATAAAAAAATCCTTTAATTAAAAAAAGCAGATGAATTAAAAAATACAGCCCATGCCACACACTCTCTAAACCACTATACAAGATACTTCGGCGCTGTAGATAACAAACACACGTGTCTGAAAGGAAAGCAGAAAAAAGCCATCCTCATGTATACTTTCACAAATACTTTTCCTTCCTAAATAAACCCTCATCGTTCTCCCTCATCTCCATCAAGATGGACCTTAAGATTAACGCACTGCTGACAAAAACTGTTATAAGCTATACAGCTAGTAAAGCCACAAGTCATTCTAATATAATGAATTTTGCAGTCCTATTTAAATCCAGGATTTAGGACTGGTTTCCACGTACGCCATGGATTTGTTTTTCAACTGGATTTTCTACCTATAGCAGTTACAGTTTGGGTAGCATGTCCTATATAGCTACATGATTACAGAATAGGATTTCACAAGCCTGTATGGACAAAGCCATGTAACAGTGTTTAAAATGGATAAGTACTAACTTTACTTATATTGGAACATGGTTATTCTAAAAAATATTTATTTTGCTGCACACTCTAAACTCCTAATTGTACAGGTCAGCTTAACTACAGAGCTGCATTTATGTTGCAAATGAGAAATTAGATATACTCTAACATGTACACTTGTAAATTATTTTTTTCTGAAAAAACATAACTGACTTGCACCTTTTAGAAGCACATGACAAGACAAACATTTAAGGACAAATAAGAGTCTAGGAGTCCAAATGCCCATTATCAAAAGTAAGTTCTGGTCTGTTGCACTTAAATTACTTTTGACAATGTTAGTTGGTTAATTTTACCCTAGATTAATTCAAAAACAAACTACATGGTAACAAATCTGCATTTATAAAAATGAATAGATTGCATAGACTTCCTAACAGTCATATAGCACACTTACCCATTCCCTTTTAACCTCCATCAGGAAAGCAATGATTTAAAGCAAGGCAGAATTATAACACATTTCACAAAAGTCTCTTACTTACATTAGCTTTTCTAAGAGTAGCCCATTTAAAGCGATTACTACAGACCAGGAGATAAATCCCACAAAAATCAGTCATCAGGTTTAATTATTGTCAAAAGTAAGTTAAATTAAAAAAAAAAAAAAATTGAGCGCCAGGGAATATTTTTTGTAGTGTAACCGAAGTTCAACCGAAGTCCAAAGTAGCATATAGAAAGACTTGGAATATCCCCAAGTCTTTATTTAAAATGTGTAAAGTGCTCCCTAAAATC